AGTCTATAGTCTAGTCTATAGTCTAGTCTATAGTCTAGTCTATAGTCTAGTCTATAGTCTAGTCTATAGTCTAGTCTATAGTCTAGTCTATAGTCTAGTCTATAGTCTAGTCTATAGTCTAGTCTATAGTCTAGTCTATAGTCTAGTCTATAGTCTAGTCTATAGTCTAGTCTATAGTCTAGTCTATAGTCTAGTCTATAGTCTAGTCTATAGTCTAGTCTATAGTCTAGTCTATAGTCTAGTCTATAGTCTAGTCTATAGTCTAGTCTATAGTCTAGTCTATAGTCTAGTCTATAGTCTAGTCTATAGTCTAGTCTATAGTCTAGTCTATAGTCTAGTCTATAGTCTAGTCTATAGTCTAGTCTATAGTCTAGTCTAGTAGTCTAAGTCTATAGTCTAGTCTAATAGTCTAGTCTATAGTCTATTATGTCTAGTCTATAGTCTAGTCTATAGTCTAGTCTATAGTCTAGTCTATAGTATAGTCTATAGGTCTAGTCTATATCTAGTCTATAGTCTAGTCTATAGTCTAGATCTATAGTCAGTCTATAGTCTAGTTCTAAGTCTAGTCTATAGCTAGGTCTATAGTCTAGTCTATAGTCTAGTCTATAGTCTAGTCTATAGTCTAGGTCTATAGTCTAGTCTATAGTCCTAGTCTATAGTCTAGGTCCTATAGTCTAGTCTATAGTCTAGTCTATAGTCTAGTCCTATGTCAGGCTAGTCTCTAGTCTAGTCTATAGGCTAGTCTAGAGGCTAGTCCTATCGTCTAGTCTATAGTCTAGTCTATAGTCTATTCTATAGTCTAGTCTATAGTCTAGTCTATAGTCTAGTCCTATAGTCCTAGTCTATAGTCTAGTCTATAGTCTAGTCTATAGTCTAGTCTATAGTCTAGTCTATAGTCTAGTCTATAGTCTAGTCTATAGTCTAGTCTATAGTCTAGTCTATAGTCTAGTCTATAGTCTAGTCTATAGTCTAGTCTATAGTCTAGTCTATAGTCTAGTCTATAGTCTAGTCTATAGTCTAGTCTAGTCTATAGTCTAGTCTAGTCTAGTCTAGTCTAGTCTATAGTCTAGTCTATAGTCTAGTCTATAGTCTAGTCTATAGTCTAGTCTATAGTCTTAGTCTAGTCTATAGTCTAGTCTATAGTCTAGTCTAGTCTAGTTTTTTTTTTCTTTTTTTTCTAGTCCATATTCTAGTCTATACTCTAGTTCATATTCTAGTCTATAGTCGTGTCTATAGTCTAGTCTATTGTCTATAGTCTAGTCTATTGTCTAGTGTACAGTCTAGTCTATAGTTTAGTCTGTAGTCTAGTCTGTAGTCTAATATATAGGCTAGTCTGTAGTATTGTATGGCCTTTTGGAAATAAGAGCATCAAGTTACCACTCCAGTTTTGGAGTGGCATTAGTTGATCAAACTAGATGAACAATTTCTTGGCACCATGTTCTATAAGTCCATTGATCCCTAATAGATGGAACATCATTAAAGGAAAAATAGTATTTTTGAGCTACAGTTCGGATCAAAATAACTTTGGACATAATCATTTAATATTGGGAAGGCAAAATAGCTGGTCTACTTATTAGCGCTAACCACTTAAATTAACTTTTTTCATTCAATTACTAGGAGTAGTAGGGGTTTTATTTGGAAAAGTTTTTAAAACTCTTAAAAGTGTGGGCAGGTTATTTTTCAGGTATTTACATATATTAGATTTCTGTTTAAAAGACATACCTCTTTCAAGACGTTCTCGATTTAAACGCCGTGTCTTGCAAATCCGTATAAATGACTGTTTTATTTAGGAGAAATATATATTTTATAACAAAAATAAAACTTTTTATAAAAATTACAAATTACATACTAAAACTATTCGGTAAATACCAAATAGTGAGGCCATGGCAGCAAAATATATTATAATATTGTCAGCAGCTGCCATGATCAAAATATTAATAAAAAAATTAAGAATTCTTTAATATTATTTACAAAAAGATTAACTTTAAGCACTGTACTATATTTTAAAAAATGTTTCAATACACTAACTACAAGTTATTGGCATTTTAGGCCACAATTTTTATAATTCCATTCAATTTTAATTGAAACATTTATAGATTATACGAGTACACACATGTATTACCATAAACTGCTTATTATTAGAAAAAAAATTGTTTTTGCTTCCACTTGTGATAAGATAAGACATTTTTTTATATATAATATTGTTTTATTTTATATACCATTTTCTCTTTATTATCCATACCCGATTCTGAAGATGATGAGTTTGTGCACCGCCAGGCTGAGAGCCATTGATTGGAATTGGGACGACAATGCGATGGGCGACATAGACGTTCAAGTTTTTTACTTTTTATATTAACAAAAAAGCATATTATAGGCATAACCAGAAAAAGGAATAAAAATCCTATAATGTAAAATATCAAGTCATTCATTTCTTTTATATAAGAACTGAACTACACTCCAAAATTTAATTTTTTAAATAATTTATCGAACTACATAATTTTTAAGTAGTGTGTGAGTATTAGTATTTATTTACTTTACTTAATACTAAATATTAATTGATTTGTTTACTTTTACTCATACCACTATGACCAGTTTTTTTGCCATTTCTTTTGTTTAATCTCGGCCCGTTTTGGAAAATAGTTGGTGGAAGGGGGTTGGGTAAGAAACAGCGATAAGACGGCTCGGTATTTTATTTGTTTTTAACAAGTTCATAGTGATATTTAGTTTAGGAGATAAGATTAAAGACATGTGTATATATCTACATACAAGTGTGAAAATATATACATTTAACACCCATTAGAGTTACACCCTACATTTTGGTTTTCAATGGATCAAATAAATAGTTGTCAATGTTTTTAAAGAATAGCATAAAGCCCTGTTTTAAATTTTTTGCTAACTGACCTTAGTCATTTCGAAAGGTTCATATATGCATGTCATTTGAACAAAAAGTGCCACTAGAGTACACCAATAGCTCGCCAAAGCTGAAATTAAGTTTCAGAAATTTAAATTTTCAAAACTTTTATTCTTATTTTATTCTTATATATTCTATTGTGAATCGTAGTTCTATACAAGTACTGGCATTGAACATAAGATATAGACCACCACTCGTTCGATCCGAGATAAAACTATATTGCACATTTTTTATTGTTAATATTTTATAACCATAAAGTGCATTTAATCAATATTTCAATTACGATTATAAAATGGTTTTTTAATTTTCAACTATCTAAATAATGTCTGATTCACAGACCGATTTATCAACGCCCTGATTAAACTGCTAATATTATAGACAAGTAGACTGGTTTTAAATTGTTTTAGAAACGCATACTTTTAATGTTTAAATTCCTTATATTTACTAATACAAGTTCTGTTGTTCAGTTTTAGTTCAGTTCTAATTCAGTTCTAGTTCAGTTCTAGTTCAGTTCTAGTTCAGTTCTAGTTCAGTTCTAGTTCAGTTCTAGTTCAGTTCTAGTTCAGTTCTAGTTCAGTTCTAGTTCAGTTCTAGTTCAGTTCTAGTTCTAGTTCAGTTCTAGTTCAGTTCTAGTTCAGTTCTAGTTCAGTTCTAGTTCAGTTCTAGTTCAGTTCTAGTTCAGTTCTAGTTCAGTTCTAGTTCAGTTCTAGTTCAGTTCTAGTTCAGTTCTAGTTCAGTCTAGTTCAGTTCTAGTTCAGTTCTAGTTCAGTTCTAGTTCAGTTCTAGTTCAGTTCTAGTTCAGTTCTAGTTCAGTTCTAGTTCAGTTCTAGTTCAGTTCTAGTTCAGTTCTAGTTCAGTTCTAGTTCAGTTCTAGTTCAGTTCTAGTTCAGTTCTAGTTCAGTTCTAGTTCAGTTCTAGTTCAGTTTCTAGTTCAGTTCTAGTTCAGTTCTAGTTCAGTTCTAGTTCAGTTCTAGTTCAGTTCTAGTTCAGTTCTAGTTCAGTTCTAGTTCAGTTCTAGTTCAGTTCTAGTTCAGTTCTAGTTCAGTTCTAGTTCAGTTCTAGTTCAGTTCTAGTTCAGTTCTAGTTCAGTTCTAGTTCAGTTCTAGTTCGTTCTAGTTCAGTTCTAGTTCAGTTCTAGTTCAGTTCTAGTTCAGTTCTAGTTCAGTTCTAGTTCAGTTCTAGTTCAGTTCTAGTTCAGTTCTAGTTCAGTTCTAGTTCAGTTCTAGTTCAGTTCTAGTTCAGTTCTAGTTCAGTTCTAGTTCAGTTCTAGTTCAGTTCTAGTTCAGTTCTAGTTCAGTTCTAGTTCAGTTCTAGTTCAGTTCTAGTTCAGTTCTAGTTCAGTTCTAGTTCAGTTCTAGTTCAGTTCTAGTTCAGTTATATTTCAGTTCTAGTTCAGTTCTAGTTCCGTTCTAGTTCCGTTCTAGATCCGTTCTAGTTCAGTTCTAGTTCAGTTCTAGTTCAGTTCTTGTTCAGTTCTTGTTCAGTTCTGTTCAGTTCTAGTTCCGTTCTATTTCCGTTCTAGCTCAGTTCTAGTTCAGTTCTAGTTCAGTTCTTGTTCAGTTCTAGTTCCGTTCTAGTTCTAGTTCCGTTCTAGTTCAGTTCTTGTTCAGTTCTTGTTCAGTTCTAGTTCCGTTCTAGTTCCGTTCTATTTCCGTTCTAGTTCAGTTCTAGTTCAGTTCTAGTTCAGTTCTTGTTCAGTTCTAGTTCCGTTCTAGTTCCGTTCTAGTTCCGTTCTAGTTCCGTTCTAGTTCAGTTCTTGTTCAGTTCTAGTTCAGTTTTAATTCAGTACTAGTTCAGTTATTATGGAAATATTTTGCGAATGTGAACAAAAAGCAATAGCAATATTCATAAATCGGTTTTATACTCTGGCAACTCTGCTTAAAGATTATAACGAACAGATTTGTTAACATTATTTATAACAAAAGCAAAGATAAAAATAATTTTGATTTTAACAAACAAATTAACTTCACTTGCTTCTAGATAAATTTTATCTAGAAATTTTAATGGAAAACAAATCGCAATGATTAACAAGTTAAATTAAATACAATAATAAAATACAGAAAAATAAGATACAAAAATATTTTATTACCGGTATTATAATGACGTCGTTGACGTATATTTTGACGATTGCGCCTATGAGCGCTACTGCCAAAACCGCAATAATCCAAAATAAACCACAATATAACCTAAATTTATTAATAACACACACATGAAGATTCAACGTACATTTTACGATTAAAAAATTCCACAATTGTTTTACCCTTAAAATAAAATACACGATGGGCATCACCAGGAATAAAATGAAAAACATTAAAATATAAATACCAAAAATATCCATATTTAAGGTATTACTTTTTTCTTCAAACACAAACACGTTAATTCTTTTTATTAAAAAAAAGTTGGAAATAACTACATGTTATTTTTAATTTAATTATAATTGTTTATGTTCTTTTTTTACAAAATTATGTCAATAAAATATTGACAAACAATTTTTTAAACACTTTGCCAGTTAACTGTCACCGAAATCAAAATAACTGAACCGAAATCAAATAAAACAACCAACAAACTTATTTATTTTTTTTATTTTCTATTTTGCTGTTATGACAGACGTCACTCTTCTTTCTGTCCAAATAAAAAATGTTTTTTTATCGCTTCTTTCAGCAGAGCGATAAGATTAATGGTGCCAAAGAGTTTGGAATATATATATTGGTGTACATTTTGCAAAAATATATGAAATCGATGGTTCAGAAAAACAAGGACAAAACTCTTAACTCCCTAAAATTATTTTCAATGTAAAGTATATCATTAATAGGTAACTCAGTTCAAAATTTAATAATATATAAATCCAAATTATCCGATTCGATGATCTTACTTTAGTTCAGTTCTTGTTCATTACTAGTTCAATTCTAGTTCAGTTCTATTTCAGTTCAAGTTGAGTTCAAGTTCAGTTCTAGTTCTAGTTCAGTTCTAGTTCAGTTCTAGTTCAGTTCTAGTTCAGTTCTAGTTCAGTTCTAGTTCAGTTCTAGTTCAGTTCTAGTTCAGTTCTAGTTCAGTTCTAGTTCAGTTCTAGTTCAGTTCCTAGTTCAGTTCTAGTTCAGTTCTAGTTCAGTTCTAGTTCAGTTCCTAGTTCAGTTCTAGTTCAGTTCTAGTTCAGTTCTAGTCAGTTCTAGTCAGTTCTAGTTCAGTTCTAGTTCAGTTCTAGTTCAGTTCTAGTTCAGTTCTAGTTCAGTTCTACTTCAGTTCTAGTTCAGTTCTAGTTCAGTTCTAGTTCAGTTCTAGTTCAGTTCTAGTTCAGTTCTAGTTCAGTTCTAGTTCAGTTCTAGTTCAGTTCTAGTTCAGTTCTAGTTCAGTTCTAGTTCAGTTCTAGTTCAGTTTCTAGTTCAGTTCTAGTCAGTTCTAGTTCAGTTCTAGTTCAGTTCTAGTTCAGTTCTAGTTCAGTTCTAGTTTCAGTTCTAGTTCAGTTCTAGTTCAGTTCTAGTTCAGTTCTAGTTCAGTTCTAGTTCAGTTCTAGTTCAGTTCTAGTTCAGTCTAGTTTCAGTTCTAGTTCAGTTCTAGTTCAGTTCTAGTTCAGTTCTAGTTCAGTTCTAGTTCAGTTCTAGTTCAGTTCTAGTTTCAGTTCTAGTTCAGTTCTAGTTCAGTTCTAGTTCAGTTCTATTCAGTTCTAGTTCAGTTCTAGTTCAGTTCTAGTTCAGTTCTAGGTTCAGTTCTAGTTCAGTTCTAGTTCAGTTCTAGTTCAGTTCTAGTTCAGTTCTAGTTCAGTTCTAGTTCAGTTCTAGTTCAGTTCTAGTTCAGTTCTAGTTCAGTTCTAGTTCAGTTCTAGTTCAGTTCTAGTTTCAGTTCTAGTTCAGTTCTAGTTCAGTCTAGTTCAGTTCTAGTTCAGTTCTAGTTCAGTTCTAGTTCAGTTCTAGTTCATTTCTAGTTCAGTTCTAGTTCAGTTCTAGTTCAGTTCTAGTTTCAGTTCTAGTTCAGTTCTAGTTCAGTTCTAGTTCAGTTCTAGTTCAGTTCTAGTCATTCTAGTTCAGTTCTAGTTCAGTTCTAGTTCAGTTCTAGTTCAGTTCTAGTTCAGTCTAGTTCAGTTCTAGTTCAGTTCTAGTTCAGTTCTAGTTCAGTTCTAGTTCAGTTCTAGTTCAGTTCTAGTCAGTTCTAGTTCAGTTCATTCAGTTCAGTTCAGTTCTAGTTCAGTTCTAGTAGTTCAGTTCTATTCAGTCTAGTTCAGTTCTAGTTCAGTTCTAGTTCAGTTCTAGTTCAGTTCTAGTTCAGTTCTAGTTCAGTTTCTAGTTCAGTTCTAGTTCAGTTCTAGTTCAGTTCTAGTTCAGTTCTAGTTCAGTTCTAGTTCAGTTCTAGTTCAGTTCTAGTTCAGTTCTAGTTCAGTTCTAGTTCAGTTCTAGTTCAGTTCTAGTTCAGTTCTAGTTTAGTTCTAGTTCAGTTCTAGTTCAGTTCTAGTTCAGTTCTAGTTCTAGGTTCAGTTCTAGTTCAGTTCTAGTTCAGTTCTAGTTCAGTTCTAGTTCAGTTCTAGTTCAGTTCTAGTTCAGTTCTAGTTCAGTTCTAGTTCAGTTCTATTTCAGTTCGAGCTCAGTTCGAGCTCAGTTCTAGTTCAGCTCTTGTTCAATTCTAGTTCAGTTTTAGTTTTGGATTTAATTAAAATATTTTTAGAAAAATCGCTGGAAATTGTACCATTTCTTCCGAAAATCTATAATGTAGATAATTTTTTTTTAAAGTTTTTAATTATATTAATTTAATACCTTCCTCTTCATGTGATGATGTATGATTCTTTCGTGTCAATAAAATTGCAATAAAATATATTATAAAAAATATTATTATTGCAACCACAAACATATTAAATATTTTTTATATTTTTAATTTGGAAGTAGATACTTGAACACAAAATTAATAACTTAACAGTACTTCTAGCTAAAAATTATTGAAAAATACTAATGAATATTCAACGGGTTCTTAGCGTTTACAATCAAACTGAACTAAATTATAAACAAAAGTTATCAGCGATAGTTAATCGTTTAACAGATATGGCGATTTAATGCTAAAGTTTATTGATTTCCAAGTACCCAATAAAATGAATTTTCTATTAAAATTTTTATATACCTTGGACGGCAGTAGGAACCAGTAAGTTATTAACTTAAAAAATATTAACTATATTTAATAAAATATTTAATATTGAAATTTTTTGTTGTGATTTAAATAAATTTGAATATTTTTCGTTAATTTCACAATTACCTTGATGCATGCTACGCCATTTTTTATATTTTAAAATCCATAAAATAAAAATCGCAAGTAAACAACATGTTAGAAAGATATACATGACTAAATATAAAACTTTCCGATATAAATCTAATTGAAATTAACAGTATTTTAACGACTTTTACACAAAAATTATTCAAACCAACTGATAGGTTTATTAGTCTTTAACTGGTTTTTTCACAACTTAGAAAACGAAGAGAAACGAAATTATCTCGCAAAGTATTGATAAAAATTACTGATAATTTGCAAAAAATATACGTTAATAGAAATTTTGGGTGGGAATTCTGAATTAATTTAAGGTTGTATTAAAACAATGCTAAAATATTTGTTTTTTTTGTTTAAAACAATAAATGTCACATGGGAGAGTAATAATAATTTCACAAGATATTGGAAAATTTTGTTTGGTTTTAATGTGAACCGATCCTTAGGAAATTTGGAATATATATTAAACATGTTATTTCATTGTTATACTAGTCTATACATACTTGTCTATAAGCTTGTTCCGAGGAATAGCCCTTTTGAGAATCTCACGTATGAATACCTCTCAATCGTAGCGTATTAATATAGTAAACATGGAAAAAATAAGATATATATTTTTTTTTGGAACGACCCTCAGTTCTCTAAAAGTCAGTTCTATTTCTGTTTTAGTTCAGTTTTAGTTCAGTTCTAGTTCAGTTTCTAGTTCAGTTCTAGTTCAGTTCTAGTTCAGTTCTAGTTCAGTTCTAGTTCAGTTCTAGTTCAGTTTTAGTTCAGTTCTAGTTCAGTTCTAGTTCAGTTCTAGTTCAGTTCTAGTTCAGTTCTAGTTCAGTTCTAGTTCAGTTCTAGTTCAGTTCTAGTTCAGTTCTAGTTCAGTTCTAGTTCAGTTCTAGTTCAGTTCTAGTTCAGTTCTAGTTCAGTTCTAGTTCAGTTCTAGTTCAGTTCTAGTTCAGTTCTAGTTCAGTTCTAGTTCAGTTCTAGTTCAGTTCTAGTTCAGTTCTAGTTCAGTTCTAGTTCAGTTCTAGTTCAGTTCTAGTTCAGTTCTAGTTCAGTTCTAGTTCAGTTCTAGTTCAGTTCTAGTTCAGTTCTACTTCAGTTCTAGTTCAGTTCTAGTTCAGTTCTAGATCAGTTCTAGTTCAGTTCTAGTTCAGTTCTAGTTCAGTTCTAGTTCAGTTCTAGTTCAGTTCAGTTCAGTTCTAGTTCAATTCTAATACACTAGTACTACCGTTGGGTGGGGACTATGGGGGTACTTTTCTTTTTGAAAGAACTATAGGATAACAACGGCTTCCGCTGAATGAATACATTTTCAATTATTGAATTTCACAATTTAATTTTTTGCTTATCACCAAAAGTACTTCAAATTCAGACAAAAAAATAATAATCAGATTTCAGAATATTGTTTACATATGATATTTACTGTTATATATGTATACTTTTAGCTTAGTCATTAGACAGAGTAAAAAATTAAAGAGAGCTACATATATAGTACTCAATATTTAGATATAACATAAAAGAGATTTTGATTAAATTTTATAAGGTTTTGGATAGCACGTGATATGAGTTCCATGTATGAATCATCATTATACATAAATGTTTATATTTATTTTGCAAAAATCGGAATCAAATTAGTAAATCTTGTTCATATGAACGCTAAATTAAAACGCGTTTAGTCCTTTGAATATTTTGCATATTTTACCTCTTTGAAAACTATTTTGATTCTGTTGCATTCTCCTCCTTCTTCTCGATCTGCGATGATTCGTTCTCAGTGTTAAGCAATAATTACAACAAACGCAACACATTATAATAATTGGAAGTATAAAAACTATTCCGTACAATAGCAAATATGACATTACCGCATTCATTTTAATATTTTTTTTTTTAATATAACCGAAATCTGACAAAAACTCAACTTTACTAGTGTAGGTATTTGTAAACAAAACACTTTTTGAAATCAATTATACTCCTTCTTTAGTTTTAATCTTATTTCGCTTTTATCAATATTTATAAACATTTTAATTAAGCGATTATATTTAACTATATTTTTTGGAAACAAATTTTTTTAATTATATTCGAATCATACAGGGGTTAATTATACCCTACACTACTATAGTGTGGGTACTATGCATCTGTTTGTACTGCTATCAATTCAGAATCACTTCCTCAGTGATTTAATACTGTAGGATCTTGTGTGAATAGTCTATAGGCTAGACTAAACATAAAAAACTGTGAAATCTTATAGATTATTACCTGAACTATGTTTCGGGCAACAAACGCATGTCTTATACATCAATATTACAAAGAATAATACTGCTGCCGAGAGTGATACCAACAATAATATTTCCTCGAAATCAAAAGCCATGGTGTCAGAA